ATGATACATGTGATGAATAACATGACAATTCAAAGCTCTAATAATTTAATGGTCAAATCAAAGATGAACAAATTAAACATGGATTCATTTTTTGAACTGGTATGTATTTAATTTTGTCACATCTTCAATTAAATACGACACAAAGATTTTTTTTATTGTATAAATGTTACTTATAAGTCATGACATTAATTAATGAAGAATGATACAATGAACAATATCATAAACAAAGGTTTGATCATCTTGTTGAGAACAACATAAACATAATACTCTGTATATGACATACATACATTTTTTAATAAAAGAACAAAAGAAAACAAAATTTATACAACACATGGAGATTCAAGGCCAATATATAAAAGAAGAGCACTAAAGTAAGAAAAAAACCCTACAATAAATCCTAATTTCAAGAGAATCATATTAGTGCAACATATACAACCCAAAAAGATGAAGTGTTTGTTTGGGAATATTGTAGAAATTAGTATTACAGAATAGAATTTAAAGTTAGAGTTTAGTTGTTAGCATCAAGTAAATGATCAGAGTTTTGTTTTTTCGTTTAACAACTGGACATTTTTAAAAGCTAATAAATTATAAACTACTACTCGAGGGTTTTGAACCCAGTTTTGCAACCAAATAACCTTCGATATGATTCTAAGAGTATTAAGGTTTAGCAGTACCATTCGCAGGTATCTGGGTACTTTACCATGAAAACAGGGTTAGCCCACTACTCCCAAAAAAAGTCCAACCAAGAACCAGCATAGTGTTAAGATACAGAAAATGAAAAAAAGAGAAGAAAAATCAAGGACCATAAATTCAGCATGAGGTTTACTTACTGCGAGATCTTGTAAAATACAACCGCACTCTTCACAGGCCTTTCATAACTTATATATATATAATAGATATGACTTCAATTTAAATCTATAGCTAAGTATATGTTTATTTGTAAAGTTCAATCAAATTTTGAAAATAGTGACCAAAAAAATAAATTTAAACTCGAAATACAACATAATTATCTTAAATGAAATACTGAAATCTCAAATTAAAATACTCTTGTTTAGTTGGGCTCTTCTTATGTATGTTCCTAAAAGAATTCGACCCCAAACCTTGAATGAATTTCTTAATTATTCCAAATTAATATTAAAACCCTATTTTTTTTCATATCAAATATTTCATAGCAAGGGGTTATGGAAGGAAAGGAGCCTCCCCTAGATGTCTAATGAAACTGGATCTCAGGAAGGCATATGACTCCATCAGCTGGAGAGCTATAAAAGAAATAATGGAGTACATGAAGTTTCTTAAAAAATATATTGAATGGATATACTTCTGTATTTCCAATACTTCCTATTCTATTATGCTAAATGGGGATAATGTTGGCTATTTCAATGGGGGTAAGGGGATTAGACAAGGTGACCCACTGTCTCCCCTATTATTCACTGTAGTGATGGAATATTTAACAAGAGCTTTGATATATTATGCTGACAGGAGCAAATTTAAATACCACCCAAGATGTAGGAATCTGAGATTAATAAACTTGGCTTTTGCTGATGATTTGATAGTAGCTTGTAAAGCTGATAAGGATTCAATCAAAGTAATCCTGGAGTGTCTTCAACATTTTAAGGCTGTAACTGGACTTGAGGTTAACTATTCCAAGTCTCAGATTATCCTAGGAGGAGTGAATGATCTGGATTATGAGGTGATTATGGATATGACTAGTATGGCTAAAGGTGTACTTCCGTTTAGGTACCTAGGAGGCCCTATTACTGATGGCAGGATAAGCGATAGGGAATGTGAAGCATTAGTAGCCAAAATAACAACTAAGATATCTGCATGGGCAACAAAGAATCTTTCCTATGCAGGTAGATGTAAGCTGATCAACAATGTTCTGTTCGGGGTGATCTCCTTCTGATGTAGACTTTTCATAATCCCTAATAGTGTGATGCAGAAGATACAAGCCATCTGCAGGAACTTCCTTTGGGGGGCTAAAGCACATTACTCTAAAACGCCTCTTGTCAATTGGGAGGATGTTTGCAAGCCTAAACAGGCAGGTGGTCTGGGGTTCAAAAATCTAAGTTACTGGAATATGGCCTGCATCCAAAGGTTGATTTGGGACATTGCAAGCAAAAAGGACATCCTTTGGGTTAAGTGGATTCATAATAAGTATCTAAAAAGGGACAACATATGGAACATCTCTGTCAAATCAGATTTTTGCTACTATTTGAAAAAAATTCTGCATAAGAGGAAGGAATTTGAGGGCATGGACATTAAAGGTAAATATGAAGTGCAGAAAGGCTATGAGTGGCTGTTGGGCGACCATGAAAATGCTCTTCCGCCACTTTTTTTTGGAAATTTTATTTCATTGCGTGAAAATAAAAAAAGGTCACGTGCTAAAAAAATTAAGCATGGAAAAAAGCACACCATTGGAGCCAAAAAACAAAAAGTACATGTGAAGGAGTAGCATTTAGATATAAAAAATTAATATTACGTGGTACGGAGAATATATTAATTTTAAAACACTACGCTAAATGTTACCGTGAGATAACTTTTTACTAATGCTAACTCTAAACTATAATGTTGTTGCCAAATGAGTTCAACACACAAAAAAAATGGACATGAGATTTTAAATATTTGCACAATCAAGCATTCATTCATGCGTCTTTGATCATAATATACATACATACAGGCATGCCCATATTAAGAACATGAGCAAATACGTACCCAACATTTCCTTTTACAAATTACATCGCCATATTCATATGGATTCTATATTCGCTTCTCTTTTTAAACGTTTCACTTCCTTACCCATTGATTTTCCCCTGCTGCAGGTTGGTCGATACTCGGCTTGTTTTTCTGTTACAGTATAACTTTTATAATGTGTGTGTGTATGCACAATCTATATATATATATATATATATATATATATATATATATATATATATATATATATATATATATATATATATATATATGGAATACATATCATAATCTTGAGTGTTTCCTCCACGGGCAACCGCCTTCGAATGTGTGTTCTAACACGTCTTCCATCCTCTTAGCGACAAGTATCTGTTGCAGTTACGTGCTATTAATACATTATGGTGGCATTAAAACATTCTCTACGGGGGGGAATAATATGTAGTCCCTTCATGGCAAAGATCTTGTGGTCCAACGACATAACTATAGGTCATACGTTTGAATCCTAGTGGGCATTGACTCTTTGTGCTTCCATAAGTCACAGTAGTATAGGGAGATACTACATTGTAATAGAATAAATAGTACCAAAGAAATTGTACCCCCTTCGTCTAAAAAATGTTGTAGACATGCAAACACACCCACAAGCACTATGTATGTGTGTGTAATGTTTAATAAACAAAATATGGTATTTTGTTTACTTAGAGCATATCTTTGTTTCCATAAATTGCATTGGCTTCAAGGGAAACTACAAGCTAGCTTCTTTTGTTAAAAGCGGGACTTTTTTTGGACAACAAAATGGAGTTCATTGTTTCTGCACGGGGGGGGGGGGGGGGGGGG